ATATATATATATTCCCCAATCCGTTACAACTTCCTTCAAAGTCATTCCAATCCCAAACAAAGACGACAATATGAACCAATCAAACCAAAAAAAGGAAAAAACAAAAAAAAACAAAGAACCGATAAACAAACAAGAAACAAGAATTACCTATGAAGAAATTGACGGATCCTAGGATGTTTGGGGCTTATGAGGCGTCGCTGAATTCTCAGAGCCAATCTGTATGTGCGCTTCAGACCCAGAAAATACGCCGTCCCTAATGTAATCTCCCATAGCACCATTTTCTCTCCTTTTCTCTACTATGCTCAGAAAGTGTTTGTGCTTTTGTCTCTGTGAGAAACGTTGATTTTTGTGGTTTATTTATTTATTTTCTTCTTCGCGGTTTCGTTTCTCGCAAGGTAAATGAGAAATGATTCATTTCTTTCCGTTTGGAGCCGCCAGAAATTTCCTTCAAAAATAAAAAATAAAAAATAAAAACTCATAGTGCGAACGCAGTGAGGTTGAATGACGTCGTTTTGAATGTTCACATTTTTTTTTATACATTATTATTATTGATGCATTTGAATTTTGAGATCATTTTCAGTTTGTCCATAAATTTTGAAAACTCTAGCTTTACACTTAAATTTTAGATTAGTCTCATTGAAGCCCTTTTGTACAAATTTTTGTTAAAATCAGATCAAGAAAAAAGAATTAAGTGTAGTCATGTGATTTTTATCTGTTTGTTTTTAATAGATCTTCAAACAAAAAGATCATATGATTCCATTATTCTCTTTTTATTTGTTTTTGATAGAAACTCCAATATAAAAGGTTAATTAGGAACAATTCAAAATTTAAGAGACAAAGTAAAAAATTTTAAATTTTGAAAGACAAAATAAAAACGACTCTAAAATTTAAGTGGCACCAGTAATAATGTTTTTTTTTTTTTTTTTTTGTTGCCTAAAGAGCTTCTGTATGAACAAAAGGAAAAGAGGAAGAAAGTCACCTATCACAGGTAGATCACAACCGTTGGAATTTCGCTTTAGTTGATCTGAACCGTTCGTCGCATTTTGTAAAGAGCTTTCGAGGTCTAATTGGGTTGGGCACTTAGGCTTAGTTGGGTAGTGCTGTAGATTTTAGAAAAATTATTTTTAGCTGTGCTGAAGGAAAAAGCAGCAGTTACAAAAAGTAACTGAGTGTTTGGTAAACTATAATTATAGTAGCTGTACTCGTTCCAAAATCAACGTAATAGTGTTTGGTAAATTATGAGGTTGAATTGCTGTAGATAGTTAAAAATTACGACTATATTATATTATACTATAATATAATATATATAATTATAATATAATATATATTTATTATTATATTTAATATAATACAAACTATTATTATATAATATATTATATAATTATGATATAGAATATAATAATATTATTAAAATAATAATTGAAATAATTAAAAATAATGATCATATTATATTATATTATAATATAACATATATAAGTACAATATAATGTATATTTATTATTATATTTAATATAATACAATAAAACTATTATTAAATAACATATTATATAATTATGATATAGAATATAATAATATTATTAAAATGGTTAATATAATTACAATATTATAAAACATATTATAATATTACGTATAATATATAATAATATTAGAATTATAAGATTATATTAATATTTAATTATATTAATTATTATAGTATTATTAATATACTAAATATAATTATATCAATACAATATAATATATAATATATTATAAAATAATAATTATAATATCATATTATTAAAATAATTATAATATAATTATAATATAATATTATATGATAATATTATAGTTATTAATATAATTATGATATTATTTGTTACAATATTACTATTATATTATATTATATTATGAGTCTGAATTTTAGATTGGAAAGATTGTAAATTTTAAGTTTTATTAGAGGCATTATGAGTATTATGAAAGTTTCATTAATTGTACTATGTTGATTCCCGCACAATCTAAAAGCTAAAGTTGTCTTTAGGCTTATTCTAATTTTGACAGTAGATTCTTGAAAATTTTTTCAAAAAGTACTTTTGAAGAGATTTACCAAACACTAAAATCAACTTTTGCTAGAAGCCAAAGCTGATTTTGGAATGGAAAAGCAATACCAAACTAAGCCTTAATATGGTTGTGTTGGATTTTCCACTGAAACATATTTTTTAAGATATGTCCTTATTTAATTTTTTTGTCTGCATAATCCTTATTATTTTAAAAGCGATACTCATAAAAATGTTTGCATTGGTTGTGTATTAACCAACTAATTATTAAAAAATTTCTTATTAAATAAATTAAAAAATAATAATATGACAATCAGAAAGAAGCTACAGAATTACTAAAATATATATACACACATACATGTGGACAAATTTTCAATAGTTTACATTTCCACGGTGGTTAACATACAAAAATGAAGGTAAATTGTGGTTAACAAATAAAATATCAAGATAAACTAAACTGGTTAGCAATGCATGCACTTTAACAACAAAATACACATCAAGAAACGACATCACGAACAAATAGCAGATCACAGATCTTTTCCTCAAAGGGTTTAATATCCTGAGAATGCCCGTCGTGAGCATGGAATCTCTTCTTTTCCTTCCAAAGATCTTCAAGTTCACTAACTCTACCACTTCTTGAAAGGCCATCTATTAAAACATTGTACGTGCCTAATGAAGGAAAATTCCCATTCCTCTGCATGGTTTTGAAAATTTCAAGTCCCTTATCAAAATTACCAGCAGAGAAATACACTCCAATAAGAGCAGTATAAGTTGCAGTGCATTTGAGACCATCAGGCAATAAATTAAAAATTCTAGCAGCATATTTCGGCTTTCGAGCATGCCCAAATTTGTATAGCAGAATAGAAGCAAAGTATATTCCAATTAAATGTCCAGCCTTGATCATTGCCTCAACAGCTTCAACCACTTTGGGAAATAAAGATGATCTGATCAAAGCTCCTATCAGGGTTAAATATGTGTTTCTCGGAATAATTATGCCGGTTTTCACGCTGTAATCAAAGGCCAATAGAGCACCACTAAGCCTGCATTGGTCACAATTTACCTCAATGATGGTTGAGATGATTGCAGGGTCAAGTTGGGTATTTTTATCAGCAATTCCAGCAAGCAAGGAATCCGCACAAACAAGATTTTCCTTTTTCAAGAGGATCAATATGAGCCCCTCATCTGCAGTTAAAGGGTTATCAGCTTGAGTTGTTCCCCCTGAATCTTTGCTGGCAGATTCAATGGAACAGTGAGGATTGACTTGTGTAAGAAGGAAATCGCTCTCGCCTGCAGCTTTTAAAGCTTTGGACGCTTCGACAAAGACCAGATAGCGTAGGACAATATGATTTTCTTTCATGTAGTTGAAGATTTTGGACATCGCCAACGTCTCCCCCGATCTGCTCAATTTCTCAACCAAGATGTTGCATGCAGCTTTATCTGGCTGTACTTCTGCTTCTTGCATTTTACTGAAAACCTCAAGGGCTTCTTCGCATTTTCCTGAAGATCATCACATGCGTAAGTGTTAGGCTCCCGAGTACCTGCAACACAAATTAACACACAACCAACACAAAGAACACCACAGATAGACTACTGAAGGACTCTCAACCAAAGGATCCAATTCATTAATCATCCCTGGAACAACCTCGAGCTCAGCTCGGCCAAGAATATAAAATAGTAAAATAATATTCTCTCAACGTGTCTCTCTCCTTCCCCAAAACTGTCCCTTAAAAATACCTCAATCCGTTATAACCTCCCTACTCTCTAGGCACTATTCCCTAGCCTAGCCTAACTACCTATAATCCAGCTCAGCAACTTCCTCACGCATTCACATCCCTTCCCCAACCGAAGACGTTGCGAGCTCCTCTAGAGTACATCCGTTCATATTTATTCTTCCTAGACTCGGGTGTAACATTACTCCCTTCCTCAAAAGAGACCTTGTCCTCAAGGTTGAAGGTAGGGAAACGGACTTGCAGCTCCTCGACAACCTCCCAGGTGGCGTCCTCGATGTCCCGTCCCTGCCACTTAACCAGCACTTCCTTAACGGACTGCCCCCCATGCTTCCTCAGGCGCCCCTGCAGCAAGCTTTCTGGAAACAGTGGTTCGGGGATGTCCGTTGCGGTGTCGACAACCACCGGTTCTTGTGAAACCGCACGCCCACCGACCACCTTTTTTAGCATAGACACATGAAAAACCGAGTGCGCCCTGGACCCCTCCGGCAGCCGAAGTCTATAGGCTACCAGACCTACCTTGCCAATCACCTCAAAAGGGCCATGATATTTTGGGGCTAACTTGTTGCTGGTGCGCCTAGCCACGGATCCCTGTCGATAGGGAAGTAGTTTCAGCCAAGCGAGCTCCCCAACCTGAAACTCTCGCTCCACCCGTCGTTGATCCGCATAACGCTTCATTCGTTCCTGAGCATGCTCCAAGTTGCATCGTAACTGTTTCAACTGCTCATCTCGTTCCGAAAGTTGCATATCCACCGAACCCACTGCAGTTCTGCCCCCTGTGTAGCGTACCAATGTAGGGGGAGCCCGACCATAAAGTACCTGGAAGGGTGTCATACAAGTAGCCCCGTGGAAATTGGTGTTGTACCAATATTCTGCCCAGCACAACCACCTGCTCCAATGCCTAGGCTGGCCACTGGTGAAGCATCTCAAATACGCCTCCAAACAACGATTAAGAACCTCGGTCTGCCCATCCGTCTGAGGGTGGTATGCCGAACTCATGCGTAAGGTGGTCTGTTGGAGGCGGAATAGCTCTCTCCAAAAAAGGCTAGTGAACACCTTATCCCGATCACTTACTATACTTCGAGGCATGCCGTGAAGGCGCACCACCTCTCGACAAAACACCTCTACCACCACCTTCACAGTGAACGGCCGCTTGAGCGCAATGAAATGTGCAAATTTGGTTAAGCGATCCACCACCACGAAAATGACCTCATGCCCATTGGATTTAGGCAGAGCCTCGATAAAATCCATCGAGATGTCCTCCCACACTGCCTCGGGAATGGGCAGTGGTTGTAGTAACCCGGCCGGACTCGTTGACTCCACCTTGTTTTGTTGACAAACCCCACACTCAGCCACAAACCATTGCACATCCTTTGCTATACCCGGCCAATACACGTTAGCGCTAATTCTCTTGTACGTCCTTAGAGTTCCCGCGTGTCCCCCCGTTGGAGTTGAGTGGAACTCCTCCAACAACTGCTGCTTGAGTTGGGAACTCGCTGGAATTACTATCCGACCCCGATGCAGTAACACCCCACTCTCCACGGCATAATGGCTTCCTTGTGCCTCCCCGCGGCTCAACTCCTCCTTAAGGGTGCTGAGTTTGGTGTCTGTGGCTACCTCTTGCTCTACGATCGCCATGTCTAGAAATTGGGGTCCCGAGATAGCCAGGAGCTCCCCTCCCTGCGCCCATCCACCCCGACGAGACAACGCATCCGCCACTACATTCTCCCTTCCTGCTCGGTAGTGGATGTCAAACTCAAACCCCATCAACTTCACCAGCCACTTTTGTTGCGCCGGAGTACTAATCCGCTATTCCAAAAGGAACCGAAGAGACTTTTGATCCGTGCGCACCACAAACTTCCTGCCAAGAAGGTAAGCTCTTCATTTCTGGATGGCCAGAACCAGAGCCATAAGTTCCCTCTCGTAGACCGACTTCGCCATTGTTCTAGGCGACAACCCCTTGCTAAAATAAGCCACCGGTCGCCCTTGCTACAGTAGGACTGCCCCTATCCCAGCCCCTGATGCATCCGTCTCCACCTCGAATGTGTCACTGAAGTCGGGTAAAGCAAGGACTGGGGTCTCCGTCATCTGCCGTTTGAGTTCCTAAAATGCTCGTTGCGTCTCCTCCGACCAAGTGAACTCCCCCTTCTTTAACAACTCAGTCAAAGGCCGTGCTATGGCGCCGTAATTCTTCACAAAACGACGGTAGTATCCCGTCAAACCAAGGAACCCTCGCACGCCTTTTACTGTGGTTGGAATTGGCCACTCAATCATGGCCCGGATCTTTCCCGGATCTGCCGCCACACCCTTCTGAGATATGCGATGCCCCAAGTATTCCACCGAATCTTGGAAAAACAAACTTTTTTTCAGGTTGAGCACGAAACTCCCTTCCTTCAACAGTCCTAATACGGTGCGTAGATGGCCAAAATGCTCTTGTGTGCTGTGGCTGTAAATTAATATGTCATCCAGGAAAACTAAAACAAATTTCCGGAGCAGGGGTTTGAACAACTCGGTCATCATTGCTTGAAAGGTAGCCGAAGCATTCGTAAGCCCAAAGGGCATAACTAGAAATTCATAGTGCCCCTCGTGCATCCGAAATGCCGTTTTCTCGACATCTTCCCGCCTCGTGCATATTTGGTGGTACTCTTTCAATCAAGCTTCGAAAAGCAAGATGCTCCGTGTAGCTCGTCCAACAATTCCTTGATTATAGGAATTGGAAATTTGTTCGGCACTATCAACTTGTTCAATTCCCGATAATCCACACAAAACCGTCAACTTCCGTCCTTTTTGCAGACCAATAATACCGGACTCGAATAGGGGCTTTGGCTGGACCTAATAATCCCTGCCACTGTCATGTCGGCTATTAAGCGCTCTATCTCATTCTTCTGTGTGTGGGGATAACGATAAGGCCTGATATTTGGGGGTTTTGCTTCTGGATGTAGTACGATGGCATGACCCCCTGTTCTGGATGGCATGACCCCCTGTTCTGGACGGTGGCAGTCCCAATTTTCCAGAAAGCACCGATCCATACTCCTTTTCCAACTACTCCACATAAGGCTTCGTTGCCCCTCCGTTCCCGGTAATGGGTGAAGTAGCACTCTGCCACTACACCATATACTCTTCTCCCTTCCTGGCCAGTTTAGCCACGGCGGTAACCGAGATAGACTCTCGGGATAACGCCGACACCCCAATCAATCGATGTACCTTAAAAGTACCCAGCTGCTTGAGCCAACCAACCCCCAAGACCACATCCACTCCCGGGATTTCAAAAGGGTATAAATCCAGTTCGAACTCCAACCCAGACACTTCCAAACGGACTCCACGGCATATGCTCCCAATAGTCACGCAGTAACCATCACCTACTTTTATTGCGTATTTCGGAATAGGGAACATCGACAACTCCAACCCCTTAATCCTGTTCCAACTGATAAATGAAGAATTTGCCCCACTTAAAATGGTTACCTTTCTTCCCTGTATGTGGTCGTACAGCTTCAAGGTATCGCCCCCATTGATTCCCGCTAAAGCTTGCAACCTCAGGTCCGGTTGGAGAAGCAACAATCCTTCTTCCTCCTCAGAGTCGGTTCTGCCACGGCCTTCCTCTGGCGGTGTCGCCTTCTTTTCAGGCCCGTCGTCCTCCTCTGTCGCCGTTTCGAGCATCCTGAGCGTACCGGTCTTGCACCGGTGGCCGCCAACCCACGGCTCTCTGCACTGGAAACACTCCCGGTTATCCTTCCGCCGTTGACGTTCCAACTGTGCCGGGCATGGACCACCACCGCCCTCTCTCGGTCCCGTTCCAGCAACCCTGTGGGTCTGCTCGTATGAGGGACGTTGGTTATTAATGGGGGCTGAACTCCACTTGTTAGCTGCCAAACGACTTGTCGTTTGGTGAGGTGAGCTGGAATGGAACACGTGGTTTACTCTTCCACGTGTTCCCTAGGCCTTCATTTTGTGCTCCAGCTGCAGCCCCAATTGAATTGCCTCGTGTACACTCCTAGGCTGCCACATCCGGACATCATCCTGCAGATCCTGACTCAGCCTATTCAAGAAAATTCCTAAGGTAGTAGCTCAGTCCATTCCTCGGATACGGGCTGACAATTCCTGAAATTGTTCCCCATATTCCGCCACCGAGCCCAGCTGTCTCAGGCCCACCAATTGCTCCTAAACTGATCTGAATTCCTTAGGTCCAAAACGCTGCCCGAATGAGGCTTTTAGCTCCTCCCAGTCCATGCCCAGTTCCTCCTCCATGACCCACTTGTAGTACTCCCACGCTCTACCTATGAGAAAATCTTCCACCACATGGACACGAGCATCCGGTCGGACCATGTGGACCCGGAAGTAGCGCTCCGCCCGTCTTTCCCAGACCGGCCATCCATCTCCATCAAAAGGTGGTAAATCCACCCGAGGTGGACTTCCTCCCAATCGCCGTCGTTGAGGAACCAGATTGGGAGGTTCGCCACCAGCCCAAGGCGGTACTTCCTCTCCCATCCTGCGGCGGTCCCCTCCACACTCCCAGCGCTAGTTGCTCTCTTTCCGGTGTCGCCCCCTGATATCGCAGCCCGTCCATTCGCACTGTGTAGTGCGGTCGTCTGGCCGGGGGAAAACCTGCGGAAGTCAGATCCCACGGTTCACTCTGCCCTGCTACGGCGTTGGTCTCCTCTGCTCCGGTGGCAGGAGCGGTGGCCGCCTCCTTCCCTCGTTCCTTCGACGAGGAGTCCGGTAACTCGCGACTGAAACTCTCGAAGCCCTCCTTAACGAGGTTAGTCACCAACTGAGGTAAGCCCTTGAGACACTCCTCCAGTCGATCCAACCCCGACAACTTCTCCGTCAATTCATCCAACTTCTTCTCCAATTCCTCCACCCGATCGCCACGAGTAACACCCTTCGTCATCCTCTTCTCACCCAGACCGTGGATGTCTCTGATACCAAAATGTTAGGCTCCCGAGTACCTGCAACACAAATTAACACACAACCAACACAAAGAACACCACAGATAGACTTCTGAAGGACCCTCAACCAAAGGATCCAATTCATTAATCGTCCCTGGAACAACCTCGAGCTCAGCTCGGCCAAGAATACAAAATAGTAAAATAATATTCTCTCAACGTGTCTCTCTCCTTCCCCAAAACTGTCCCTTAAAAACACCTCAATCCGTTATAACCTCCCTACTCTCTAGGCACTATTCCCTAGCCTAGCCTAACTGCCTATAATCCAGCTCAGCAACTTCCTCACGCACTCACATCCCTTCCCCAACCGAAGACGTTGCGAGCACCTCTAGAGTACATCCGTTCATATTTATTCTTCCTAGACTCGGGTGTAACAGTAAGCACCATGCAAACAAAGATAATATAGAATTAGAGGCTAAAGATTTTTTCGGGATTGCTGTGTTTTTAAAATAGGGTTCTTCTACCTAGCACCTCCTACCGGTAGTGTCTCTTTCAAACCCTTGGATTAAATCAAAATCACATAAAGATTAAAAAAAATGCAAAACACACAGTTTCTATTAATACAAATCTAATGTTTAAAAAGAGAACTTCCGGTAGTTCATTTTTTTGAGATCTACAGTAGAAATCTCCCTTAAAATAACACATTACTTTTAGAAGCAGAAACGAAAGCTGAAAGCTAAAAACATCCAACTTCACAAAATTAAAAATTGCATTGTTATTTTGTGCAAATCACTTGACGCTCTGATTGCATAGTTTTTTGTGCAACGTGCTTTCAGAGTTCCAGAAGCAATCTCAAACTAAGCTTACGAATTTGAGTTTTTAACAACATCAAACATATATTTCTAACACGATAAGGGAAAAAATCTCATCATTCATTGCATATTTATCATCGCACTAGTGACAGGGAATTTTCAAAGAATGGTGATAGTCAAGAATATGATTAATCATTAATCTACTACTAATTACAAATGTAGAAAAATTATTTAGATAACAACTAAGATTACGTGCGTAAAATGTTGAGAGTGATTCGACCACAACATAGCCGACGGAGAAAACAATTAACCATTAAGATTGACCACAATCTTGCAGTCACCAATAAGGCAATATCCCAGAGAAACATGGTTTAAAATATGAAAGAGTAGATTTAGGCCACACAAGAAACAACAAACGGGAATTACGCATGGGGTAAACTTGGGCTCACCTGACTCAATAAGATATTCCATTAGAACAGTGTAAGTATGACAATTAGGAGAAAGCCCTGATTGAAGCATTTCCTTATAAGCACCAGTGGCTTCCTTCACTCTATTATTATGGAACAGAAGCTTCATATAGGCCGTGTACGAAACAACCGTTGGGCTGCAACCACTATTTTTCATCTCTTCCCACACTTTCACTGCAACATCAACATCTCCAGAACTAGAAATCCAGTGCATTAAAGAAGTATAAGTAACTGCATCAATATTTATTCCACTCTCTTGCATTTGCTTAAAAACATAGTTCATTGATGAAACCCCCCCAGCCTCTCCAAAAATATCGAGCATTGTCGTATAAGTGAACTGGTCATGCTTGAACCCTTTTAGTCCAGCAACCCAGTTGAAAAATAACCACGCTTTCTCCATAGGAGGATGGGTTTTCAAAACTTGGTTGACTGTGTAAGAATCCCATCTTATAGGCAGCCTCTGAAGCTGGTCTAGAGCTGAATCCCACGTTGAATATTTTAGAATAGTATATATTTTTGCAACAGTATCTCGCATGTAAACCTTAGTGTCTACATCTTCCTTTTCTTTTGATTTCAAATACTTCAAATTCTTTTTTGTCTGGAAGTTTCCACTGGATTTCTCTTGCTTAAATTGGCGAAAAGAGTGGACGGATTTAAAAGAAACTTTCAAGTAACTATAACCACTGCTAGGCCCAGAAACCAAAACATTCCAAGAATTCCTTTTAATCCACAAAAGCTGTACAGAGAACTAATGTTAGACAATTTTTCACTTATATCAACATGAATAAGCAAGAAAGAAGCGTCTCTTCAAGCAAATTAATAGTCCATGACATTTAAGGACAAACAGATTCAAACCCATATTTCGTGATTTGGATTTTCATTGGGAGAAACATAAAGGAATTCAATTTTGTTCTGCAATGTCTCTCTTAATGATTTACCTTAGCCGTACTTGTTAGGAAAGTGAGTTATACCCCAAGTATATATGTATTGTACACCGTAAGCATGTTGAAAATTCTTAATTTTTTCTTCAAAACGAAACTTGTATTGATAATACGAATTATGTACAGCCAAAAGAGGAAGAGTTATTCTCAAGGAAAATAAAACAAAAACAACTAAGCTACAAAAATGGATCCCAGCTTCTAAACTCCTTATCCTTACGGACCCATACTGCAACTGAATATTTAACCCTATCCCAAATGATAGGCACAATCTTCCTCGCGACACTAAAAAATCCTTCGATTCAAACCGATACTGCAACATGTCGAAAATTCTCACTGCTGACCAATACTTTTGCTAGTGATTTTCTTTTACAGCTAGATGTTAAAAATAATGAGATAATTGTGTAACGGACTCTTATTTCTCTTATTTCTTTTACATTCCGTTACTGTATTGTCTTTCAATTCAGTCAACGTCTCATATTCTTGTTAATAAATTTTCCCATTGTATAGTAAACATCACATAACCTTGAAACTGTGTAGATGGCAGCCGAAATTCCGCATTGTCCTTTGGATGAATAAACTAGGAAGTCCATTTCAAAGACTTCTTCTTAGCCCATGATCCGAAGCAAAAGTTGCTTCTGTAACACGAGAAGTAATGAAATTAAAAATGAGAATAAACAAGAACCTCATCAAGAAAAACTCAATAGGCTCGTATATAACTACTGAGAATTTTGGGATCTCATCACAGTTAGAATTTGAAATCAAGAAGGAAATACCAATTCAATAGGGAAATTTCGGATTAAGATCATTCAAGCGAGAAAGCGATACCTCAAATTTTTAAGATTTCTGCAACATTTTTCCTTGCTCCAACAAGTTCCGCCGCAGAAAATCGGCCTTCTACTGGAAAGAAAGCTTCGGTTGTGCTTCCATGAAGAGAGAGAGGGTTCGGCCAGAGGAAGTACAAAAGGGGAAGAAGAAAAGAAAAGAGAGGGAAAGTAGGGAGGAGAGACCGAGAGAGCGAGTTTGGTAGTGCTTTTTCGACCCCAAAATAAATTCTCTACTTAACCACAGTTAAAATTTAGAGAGAAAAAGAGAAATAGGTTAAAATTTAAAATAAATTAAAATTAATAGATTAATAATTTATATAAATTAATAAATAGATTAAATTATTATTTTTGTTCATAATTAGTCTAGTTATGAATCATAATTTGATAAATTATTGTCTATAATTGTTCATAATTTATCTGATTATGAACCATAATTTGATAAATTTATCCATAACTTATCTAATTATAAATCATAACTTGACAAGTTATGACCTATTAATTTTTATAATTAAAAATTGACCTATATATTTTTTTTAAACTTTTCATATTGACTTATTTTTTACTATTTCCCTAAAATTTATATTTGGTAGAATTTGCAAACAATTTACTGCCATAAGCAGAAGTTGATAAAACCCCACTTCTCATTTTAGATTGTGCAACAATTTATATCCGTATAATTAATAAAACTTTTATAATATTTGATGAATTCTAAAAATAACATTTTTGTCTCTACCATGATGAATTCTAACAAATATCACAGAACACATTCAACGTTTTATCTTTTCCACTCACTTTCGATTACTCCATTTTTTTCTGTAAAATCAATGCACTTTAAACCATTCATTGAGAAACATAAATAACATCCTTGAAAATTCACAAAAATCACCAACAATAGATTTAGGAAAAAAAAAAAAAAAACGTGAAAATTAACGCAATAAGAAAAAACTCAAATTAGCTTTCAACAGATGGAGGAAGAAAGTAGGAAATCAATCGGTGGGGAGGTGATTTGGCCGGGTTCGCGAGTAGAGAGGAGCAAGATCTGTAATCGGTGGGGTGTAGTTTTTTTTTTTTTTTTTTTTTTTTAAATTCCTTTTCTTTTTAAGGGAATTTAAAAAAAAAAAAAAAGTTTAGTTAAGCAAATGTTTGCGTATAAAACTAAAATGAAATAAGTATGCATGTGTAAATTTTTATATCGTGTTTATTTTAATCATTTTAATTACTCGCAGTAATTCAACTTCACAATTTATCAAACACTGTTATATTGCTTTTGGAATCAACAACACTTATAAAATTACAATTTACCAACACTGAACTACTTTTGTAACAGTTATTTTTTCTTTTAGCACAGTTGACAGCAATTCTATTAAAATCTATAACACTACCGAATTGGCACTTAGAAGTTAGAAGGGGAACAAAACAATCAAGGAGCCAAAACCATTTTCAGAACGATCCGTCAACTTTTCATTTTGTACAAGGGTTATTCTCTTTAGTCTCTTTTTTTTTTTTGGAAAGAAAATTGGTTGTAAGCCTCTATACTTTAACCATAAGTTAAAGGTTCGAGTCACTTTAAGACCCACTTGAAAATGGTGGCATTCCCCTTCCCCTTGTATAAAAAAAATTACATTTAAACAAAAATAAAAAAACAATCAACACAGTACAATACTACTGGCCCGTTAGAGAGACAGACGCATGTTTAAGGCCCGAAAACAATAAAAAATATCGGCACACTAAGAACGAGCACACTTGAGGCTCTAATTGAAAAACCTCTCCCATTGAGATAAGCTTCCAAGGTCGGAAGGGCAAATTATTAAACCCCACAGAGAGGGGACATCAGCACCACGACCTAAAAAAATTATAGTCGGACCAATAATTCACACTAACGGAAAATAAACACCCAAAGTCAAAAGTTGAAGAAACCACTTCCTTTATTACAAAACGAAGCTGAAGACACGCTGGCAGCTAACAACAAAATAGAAACACACTAAAATTAAACGGTGGAAACATCAATGCCTTTATTTGAAAAACACATAAATTAAAATAAGATTACAAAAACCAAGTGACACCGACGAGATCTCTAATGACATGCCGACCACCACCACAAACGAGCAAGGAGGTCGCGATAAAGCCAGCGGCTCGAAGAGAAGTCAAAGTACAGCTGAGCCAATGATGTCGCCTCCAACCTCTTCCTGCAAGGGACCACGCCTAGCCCATAGGGCCGCCGCCTAACCGAGGTCGAAGCCCCTAGAACGAAGCAACGTCGAAGCACCCACGAGGCCCACACTTGCAAAGAAGGACACAACCACTCCACCTCCATCGCCTCCATCTCTAATCGTCCACCTGACCATCAACCCCCTCTAAGGAAACATCGTATTGAGGGGACCAAATCCTAAAGGGCTTGGATTCGCGAACGCATTAGTAACACTGAAGGCAGCAGCCGAAATGTCGCTAGAAAAGCCCCCTCTCCAACGCATGTTCTTCCTTCCCCAACCGCGATTAAGTCGACGCCTTCCTGAAGAGATCCACGTTACTGCACTTGGTAACCTATTGGAAAAATGGCTTGTTAAGCCATTTTAAAGGCCCATTTTGAGGCCCATATTCGGATGGGGCCCAATAGGTTTTTGGGACGGGTCTCGATGGATTTGCGTTCTCCATCGCGAGGAGATCGAAATCGAGTATTCATACACTCAAAATGATTTTTAGGTGAATGAGAAATTTATGGTCTAAGTATGGTACTTGGAATGGTAAATGTAGAAAGAAAATTACAAAAATCCCACAATGGCTAGGAGTGAAGCCAATGTGGTGTTTATAAGTGATTGCACTTTGAAGCCTAGGTAAGCATGTATACCAGAGACACTCTCTCACGCGCAGGGGGAGTGCGAATCACGATCCCGGCGGGTTGGGGGCCAATGTGTGCACCCGCGACCTGCGAACACGAATGCCGGACCGGAAAAACTCACCCGTTTGGCTGAGCATAAAGCTGTGCTTAATGGCTGGTAAATGAGCATAATGGAGGCTTAATGGTGATCAATGGAGGTAAAACATTTTTGCCATGGTTAATAAGCTTAATACCATCAGTTTCATTCATAAAGGTCCGAACCTTGGTGTACAAAGGTGGCCGGATTCATCTTGAGGGAAATGAATGGTTTCTTGGCTGTAATAATGTGAGATTAAGCCCTATAATTGCTTGATTCCGAAACCCTTTTTCTCAAGACCCTATATAAAAGGTTCTCCCCATGAAGGAAAGACACATATTTCAGAAATCTCTCCCTCTCTCTCGGATTCTCTCTTGCGTCCGAAGTTGTGTGTCTTTCTTTATCTTGTTAGTTCGGTTTTCGTGATAGAGGAAAGATCTAGTTCTAGTTCACCGGATGGTTCTGAAAGTGCATCGAGCTACCGTCGTTGTCGTTGTATCCTGGGAGTCAGACGTCCAACGTAACCTCAAGCATACGCCAGAGGGGACGAATCTGTTTTAAGGAAAACATGGTCCACGTGCCTCGACATCCTTGCGACTTTCATTCCCGAGTTTTTGGTATAAAGGTTGAATTATAATTGTATGCATTCGGTTTTATTCTTCCTTAACTTGTTCCTTTTTTGTATTATCCACTATTATTTCGGCTAACAATCTTAAAACAGATTCGGATCTATACAAAGGAGGTTTTGCAGGGAATATATAAAAAAAAAGGGACCAAAATGTTTTCAGGAAAAGGAAGAAAAAAAAAACATTTTTGTGGTTGTTTGAAATTCTGTCAATTTCCTTACTAACTTGGAAATTTTGTTTTTAGAAATGGCTGATAATATGAACGTGGTTGTTCTTGCTGGAAGCAACACTATGACGCCTGTGCCGTCACCTGTGGGACAAACGTCTATCTCGGTCCCGACCCCCGCTTTAACCTCGACGCGGCCTTCGCCGGTCTCGGTTCCTATGAACCACAATGAAAAGGCTGATAAATTAAGTGGGCTGAATTTTAAAACTTGGCAACAAAAAATGTTTTTTATTTAACAACATTGAATCTTGCGAGATTCTTGAAAGAGGATCCTCCTACTGTTAGAGAGGATGAAGTGGATGCTCAAGCATTCCACGCGGTTGGTGCATGGAACCATTCTGACTTTCTGCGTCGGAACTATGTGCTTAACGGCTTGGCTGATAGGCTTTACAATGTGTATAGCTCAAAGAAAACCGCTAAGGACTTATGGGAATCTTTGAACCATAAATATAAGTCTGAGGACGCGGGTGCTAAGAAGTTCTTAGTGGGCCAATTCCTGAATTACAAGATGGTGGACTCGAAGACTGTCATTAGTCAAGTTCAAGAGCTCCAATTGATAATTCATGAAATACATGCTGATGGAATGGCCATTAGTGAATCCTTTCAGGTAACTGCGCTGGTTGATAAGCTACCCCCCTCCGGGAAGGAATTCAAGAGCTATCTGATGCACAAGAGGAAAGAGATGATCGTTGAGCAATTGGTTGTCAGGCTTCGCATCGAAGAAGATAATAGGCGGACTAAGAAGAAGTTCTCCAATGGAACCGCGAGCTCTGTTAAGGCTAATGTGGTGGAGCATGATAGCTCCAAAAAGAAAGGAAAGCCCGGATCCAAGTTGGGACCAAAGGGAGGAATTGTCAAGAAGAAATTCCAAGAAAAGTGCTTCAATTGCAACAAGGTTGGGCACAAATCGGCGAATTGCAGGCTGCCAAAACGAAACAAGGATAAGGAGGCCAATGCTGTGGACACCATTTTCAAAGAAGTGTCCGACATCAGCTTGTCTGCTGTGGTCTCCGAAGTGAACTTGGGTGACTCCAATCCAAAGGAGTGGTGGCTCGATACTAGGGCTACAAGACACATCTGTTGTGACCGGGCCGAGCTTGCTGATCTAGTTTCATTGGAAACTAGAAAGAAGCTCTTCATAGGCAATTCTGCAACTTCTGTGATCAAGGGCCAAGGAACGGTGTTCTTGAAGATGACCTCGGGCAAGGAAGTGAAGCTCTACAACATGCTTTATGTGCCCGACATCCGGAAGAATCTCATATCCGGGACAATGCTGAGCATGCACGACTTCAGGATGGTGTTTGAAGCCGATAAGATAGTTTTGTCTAAAATGGGAATGTATGTGGGAAGGGGTTATGTAAAAAGTAGCATGTGGAAAATGAATGCCATAGCT